TGCTTTAGATGTGCTTCCCAGACATTATTTTATCCCCTGCCTGCCAGCCTGCCTTCATTCGACAAACCTTCACTGAGTGCCCGCCATCTGCCAGGCATTGTGCTGGACGTTGGGAATTCAGTAGTGAATAAATACAGTCAGTGGTTCCTGGAGTCTCAGTTCTGTTCTGTGGACGCTTCTAATTCCAATGTGCAGAAAGCCATGTGAGAGATGTGGATCAAATAGTGGGGAAGTGAGGTGGGGCGAGGGACAGGTAGGAGTTTCAACTGCTTAGTCAACAATAACTACATGTTAATTTGGAAAGAGGCCGGTTTGGTAATTTGGACATTTCGTAAATCGTGAAAATGTCCAGTTTCATACGATTGCGGTTGGCTCTCTCAAACATTCTTGAAGAGATTGGCATCTAATTGGCACATTCTAACTTGCATTAGTTTCTGTCAGGCTCTGCTGTGTATTCTGAAGTCTCTACTAGCAGTGATGGTAGAACATAGGTTCTGGAGTCAAACTGCCTCAGTGTGAATCCTGCTCCATTTTGCTTATGAGCTGTGCGAATTTGGAACAAGTTATTTAACCTCACTGGATTTCAGTTTTCTCATCTGTTAAATGGGGATAATAATAGTGTTATGGATTGAACTGTGTCCCACCAAAATATGTGTTGTAAATCCTAACCTCTATGCCTGTGGTTATAATCCCATCTGGGAATGGGTTATCTTTGCTTTGTTAATGAGACAGGATTAGTGTAGGATGTATCTTGAGTTAATCTCCTTTGAGATATAAAAGATGAGACAAAAACTAGCAAGAGAGATAGGGGAAGAGAGATACCAAGACACATGGAGGTGGCCTAGGAGCAGAAGCTCCGAAAAGACAAGGCCCTTTCCAGAGCCGACAGGGGAAGCCTTTCCTTAAAACCGGCCCCGTGAATTTGGACTTTAGCCTCCTAAACTGTGAGAAAATAAAATTCTGTTTGTTAAAACCATCCACCTGTGGTATTTCTGTTATAGCAGCACTCGATGACTAAGACAAATAGTACCTATCAAACAGAGTTGCTCTAAGTATTAGATGACTTTTATATGTATAAAGTGCTCAAAAGTGTCCAGCATTGGTGAACATTCAATGAACGTTAGCTGGTTTTGCTATTATTATTAAAGTGAGTCCCTCTTTCTGGCCCTGTCAGAACTTTTCAAGTAGATTGAGCCTCCATATAACATCTACAGTGAATTACCAGCTCCTAGGCTTGAACACAAGAGTTGTTAGTGTGTTCCCAGGCTTTTATCCAGATTTTGCTGTTTGCACATCTAGTTCTAGGCCTGTTGAGCCTCACGACCTCTTCTAGGAGTTTATTCCTGGAGGCCAAGCAGAGTTTTGAAGTGCCCAGGTGGTATTTGACCTAATGGTAGTAGGGAATTGGAATTCTCTTCAGTTTAGTCTCTTACAAAAGTTACACTGATTAAAAAGAGATATTTTCTCAGCTTTTTCAACTATTATGCCCTATGACTAAACTGATGTTGTTCTTGACTTACTGAAAGAGGACTCCAAACATGGGATTGTTTCGTTTTGTCTTTTTAAACAGCAAAGTACAGGGGATGGATAAGATCAGTATGTGAGGCCTTAACTGGGTCGGCAACTCTTCCCTGAGGAAAAGGGCCACTTTGCTCTAAGGAGATCACATGAGAAAGCACCTTGTCTGGAGTGAGAGGTGCTATAGAAACAACGTAGTGCTCATTGTTGGTTGCCCACCTAGCATTCATTCCTCCTTCCAAACAAATTTTTTCAAGAATCTACCCTTTCCCCCACACCAGCTCCAGGGTGGTCCTAAATGGCCTAAAGGTAATTTCCATCCTCTTTGCTAGTGATTGGCTCAGAAATGACCATGTGACATGTTTTGGCCCAGCAAGACTATTGGAGAGAAATGCTAGAGGCTTCTGGGAATAGTCTGTCCCTGGGTGGTGCAAATGCTTATCACACTGGACTGCTGACTGAAAGGTTGCCAGTTGGAGTCTACCCAGAGGCACCGTTGGAAGAAAGGCCTGGAAATCGACTTCCAAAATATCAGTTACTGAAAACCCTATGGAGCACACTTCTACTCTGACACACATGGAGTCGCCATGAGTTGGGAGTCGACTTGATTGCAACTTTTTTTGGGGGGGAATAGTCCACCTTATTTTTCTGGGAGAAGTCCCTAAGCAATGTCCTTTTTCCTCCTGGAAGTGAATGAGGAAGCATGGAGCCCTGAAAATGGTTCTATAAACATCAGATATGAGCCCTGGGATCGAACTCACAGTGAATGTCAAAGTGGACCCACAGAAACAACCTGAATTCTCAAAGTTATCAGTGACCTTTTGCATAAGTCAACTCTGAAACCTGCCCTGCCTTTGGACTACCAGTTAGGTGACCCAATAAATATTCTTAATGCTTAAGCCAATTTGAATTGGGTTTCCTGTTACTTGTAGCCAAAAGTACCCTAACAGATATACAAAGATACTCTTTCCATCATTTTGCTATGTGATCATGTTACTTTTTAAGACTATCACCTAGAAAAAAGTAATATACAAAATGATTTACAGCCTTGATTGTAAGACGCTTAAAATACATTGGAAGGAGATGTGCCAAAATTAGCAATGCTTGTCTGTACGTGGATTTCTATTTTCCTGTTCCTATGAACTTGTATTTTATTGTACATATTTTCTACAATGATTCTGGGTGATGTATCAGGGAAAAAAAAAGCAAAAGAAAGTAAGACTGGAAGACACAAATGGTTGTTAGGTTTTGAAATCTCAAAGTTTTTTTCCTTTTCTGTAGTCCCCAGTTTTCTTCTAATGTGCTAATATTATTTTTATCATTTAAAAATGTTTTTAGTTCCCTTACTGAAACTTTGAAAGAGCAGGGACTGTTTCTCCTGCTTCCTTTCTCTTTTCCTCTAGTATGTCTACATAGAGTAATTACATAGAACAGCAATATGAAAAGTGAATCATTCTGGACTTTAAGGCATGCAGAGAAATCACAAAGAACCCTTGCAATGGTCATTATCACCCCAGTACCTGACCCCAGAATGTCGCATTGACCTCTGTTCCTTTTCCTTCAGGGCATTTTCAGTTTGTAGTGATATAAGTGTGATTATCAATGCCTGTCTTCTGCTAAGCTCCTCAAGAGCAGGACTCTTGCTCATCATGTATTGTATCCCCATTGCCCGGCATATGGCAGACACTCAATTAATATTGATGAGAGAAACAGAATTGGCTCATCTCAGCCTTCCATTTTGGGAACATAAATATTTCCGACCAAAGGGGCAGGCTAATTCTTGGCACTAGAAATAATCATCTCTCCCTCTGGTGGTTATGGTCTTAGAAATTACAGTCTGAGAGTAAAACAGAAAGACTAGAATCAGGACTCTTAAACTTAGCTTGCTGAAGGCAGCAGAAGAAGTCACCCACCAAAGGGGAACCGCTAGGACTGGAGCCTGGAATCTGCATTCTTAGGTGACCCAGGGGATTCTGAATCAGGTGGTCTGAGGACCACACTTTGGAAAACATGCCCTGCAACATCCCGTTGGAGCCTGAGCATGGACTTCATTCACAGTCATCAGGCTTCCAGGGAATCATGGTGACGTCACTGTGCCTGTTTAATGTGAATCAGTCTTTATTTTGCACTTGTGTGGTGCATTAACAAATTCAACATACAAGATAGCATTACATATTGTAGGTTAGCGTTACAGCATTATGCAATTTCACACAATTCATGTTAGCTTTTTCTTTTTTTTTTTTTTTTTAATTTTGACACATTTCTTTTGAGTTTCATTTTCACAAGAGAAGACACAAGGTAAAGAAAGACGACCACATTGGCGAGGGATCATGGTGAGGGCAATGTCACTATCACGGCCATAGTAACAGTCTTCCAAGAAAAGGGACCTGTGCTTTTCCCTCTCCTGAGCCAGTCACCCCCGTCCCACAAACCAGTTCTATCTTTTCGTATCTAGAGCACCGTTCATAACCATGTACATCTTGGCTGTGCTCCACTGAGAAGAACTGAAAGAAGTAGTAACTCATAAAGGGACTTTGTTATTAAGAAAAACTCTTGTCTTCCCAAAGGAATCAAGATGTCCACAGAGAAGGACTAACTCTTGGAAAATCAAAAGTGACCATTCCCTAACCTATTCCTGACCATGAGTGCCTTGTGCAAAAGCTAGGATGTGACTCTCTTGTCTTTCAACAGACCCTTGGGAGGAGGTATCCTCCTCTACCCTTATCAGTCAGCTCTGGAAGGAGTAAGCGTGAAAGCCAAAGCCAGCTAAGAAACTTAAGTCAACGGCACGATGGATCAGGCCAGAGGTAGGAGGGAGGAATCCTGCCCTGTCTGCCTCTTCGCCGTTTTCTGAGAAAGACACGGAGGCAGCTCGTAGGCTACAGAACTACCGGTTCTCCCCTGTCACCTCACCACCCACTGCTCAGTAGACCCAAAGAACGCAAGGAATAAAGCTACGAGGAGTGGGGTGAGGCTGTTTTCCCAGACTTGTGTCAGGAGGAGCTACAGAGGCACACACAGCAGGGCAAAGACCATACTATCTCCACCTGTTGCTTTGCATTGTTTCCAGGAAGGAAACAAAAGTGGGATGCTCAGCAATTTCTGATCTTTCGACATTAAGGCGATGAAGAGGAACCATTTAAATTTTGTTTTCCTAATGAGATATCGGAATGCTCCTGTCAGATTTAAGTGAAACTATCTCAAAATGCATTTTTTAGAAAAAAAATTATTTTCTTCTACGTATGATACAGTATTTACATTCCATGGGGTAAAGGATAGACTGGTGGTGTGAACCCAGCTGAAGGTGAGATAGAAAGCCAGATTATGGGGGATGAGGGTTGATAGGGACAAGAACAGAGAGTGGCCTTTACACCTGCTCAGAACTGCTCTGCACTGTCAAGAATATGAGTTAAAAAAAAAAAAAAAAAGGAGGGGTCACGGGAGCAGATTGATTTTAAATCCACAAGAGCTAAGGGAACACCAAAGGCAAGTTCACTACCCCCTCCATGGAGACTCAGCTTTTCAACTGTCTCCTCAGAAGCAAGTTAGAAAGTGATGTTCTGGTATGAAAGTGGACACTTCAACCTTAGCTAATCTTTCAGGCCCTGGTTCAAGCTGTTGCTCATTTGAGTTCCTCTTCAGGCTGGCAAAAATATCTACTGCCTATGTAAGCTTACTTATTGTCAATGAATTCTCTACCATCTGAAAAGTCTCTACATTAGAGACATGGCTGGACTGGGAGTCAGGAGACTTGATTCTAACCCCAGTAAGATGCTGAATCTCTCTCAACCTCTCTCGGCCAGTGGTAGGAGGAAGGTTAAACTCTGTAGTTCCCCCATCTCTCCATCATGTTGTGAGACTCATGAGTTCCAAGAACTAAGCACTTTATTTTGAGGGAAAGAGTGTTCTGAGAGAATCCAAGTTACCTTTGTTACTCATTTAGCCACACCATTCTTTTTAAGGGCCATTACTAAAAAATTCAAGGAGAAAGAATCATTTCTGAGGGCCTTTTTCCTTATGAAGCAAAATTAACCTTATGACAGTATCTAAGCTACCTGAGAAACTCTAAAGCTTCTCAATGGTCAGTATTTCTGGAAAAAAAAAGGCTAACTTAATCCTTCGGCCTTTGGATGGTTTCCAACCCATCAACCAATAAATGGCTGTCACTTCCATGGATAGCTGCAAAGGAAGATGTCAGTCACCTCATTTCTCCTCTCCTTGTCCTTATACCTCCACATGGCATTAGGGAGCAGCTGAGTGTGTTCATTGGTAACTATCCTATAACTGGATTTGGAGTCTCAAAGCTCCTTTTAGAGAAGTCACCTAGCTTTGTAAACCCAAGTTCTACTTGATAAGTCTCTTGTGTTCTGTGTGCTTCATTGGGGCTACAATCAGTCCTAGAATGCCCTTTACCCCACTGTAGCTAGCAGGAGGACTGACAGCGAAAAATGCCTCATTTCTCAATTACTCTTTCTCCTGTAAGCTCTGCTTTATCCATTCCGCATTTATTCTTGGTTTACCTCAGACTTCTGGACCTTGAATTTAGCCAAAGAGCAAAGATGTAAGAGGTAATAGGGAGAAAAGATGGGGATGATGAAAACACAAGGTTTGACAAGAGCAAAATTTTCTTCTGCAGAGGTGGGGAGTGAGAGGAACTCTCCAGAGAAGCCCAATGAAAGGAGGCTGATTTCACGTAATCAGCAAATACAATTCAGCACAAAACACAATTGTTCTGGAATAAGATCTGTCACTTGATATTGGTAGTTAGGCTAATTTCTTCAGTTTGTATTAGACATGCAAGTATAAGGTTACACTGTTATATATAGACTCGTAGGGGTCTTTCCCTCTCTTTTTTCCCCCCCCATTTCAATTAAAAAAGAATTTTTTTTTCTAGTGCCTTGCAAAGGAGAAAAACCGTCATCGCTAAGAACTGATCAGCGGCTGTGGTCATGTGGAGTGTTCTCGATGGGGTTTGTTTTGTGAGAAATTTTCTTCTACAACTAAAATGAGGTTTTGAGACTGCTTCCCTCTGTCCTCTCTCTCCCGGCCATGTCCCTCCCCAGCCTGGCCCCTGGGTTAGAGGCGAGGAGAATGGGATTAGTACTCGCTCAGACTGTGCCACTTGGTCACAGGCTTGCGTGGGCTCTCGCAGACCTCTCTCCAGTGTTCCGCACCGTTGGCTGTGACACTGTGTGCCCCTAGGATCAGCCTCCCCACCACCTCGTTTTTGGTGGTGCGGTCGAAGTCGATGACGAGGAACTCAATGCTGATGTCAGGCAGGAGGTCAGTGGGGATGTCATAGATGAAAGACTCATTGAAGACTGGGTTCAAAGTGCACTTCTTCACGTGGGTTTTCTTCTTGGCGATGCGCTTTCTGCCGTAGTAGACGTTCACCTTGACATAAGGATCTGGGGCCCCCAAAGGGACGAGAAAAAAGGAGACAAGCCTATGACACAGTCCTTTCCCATAATGGTGATTTCATGTTGGGGAAGAGGGGGCTATGGTTTTCATATGTTTGGTGGCCATCCCTACACAGTCTTTAGTGACTGCACAATAAATACACACTGACTGTATGCGAGTCTGCCTGCTTGGACAGGGGACCAAGGAGACCAAGGAGGAATAAAACAGAACAACCTCCTCAAGTCACGTTTGAAGAAACCCCAAGACACCAAGAAGCATTTTCAAGGGCACAAATGCCTTCAATCATTTTTTTAATTTTCTTTTAACTGGAAAGTATCTAGGAATTCATTTCACCAAGAGTAGGAGCTCTAGGCAGAAAACTTTTGAATTCAAATAAAGGGTGATCTGAATAAACAAAGACCTATTATGGTCTGAAATGGGGGCATCCTAATATTCTAGCTTCCAGTTCTCCCCAGATAATTTATAAATTCAATGCAACTTCAATTGAACTTAATAAGCACACTCCATATATATGCTTATTAATAAAATATCCATGAAGATTAAAGATCCGTGAAGAGCTAAGTCCTTAAAAAAAAAAAAAAAGTGACTAGGAGCTTTCCCCAGGGCTGGCAATCTTTTTGGTAAGTCTCACCCGGGGCAAGGGCTTAGCACCTGCCATGTACATCATTTAAGATGCCTCGCCAACTATAAAGAGCCCGTTGGCTTACCCAGCTCATCTGCCAGCTAAATCTATTGAACCTAGACACTCATCAGGAAGAGGATGGAGACAGAGAAAGGAAGGGATGGAAAGTGAAAGGTACAAGGGGTTCTGAGGTTGGGGGTGTCTGGGCTGAAGGCAAGCAGGGTTGGGGTGACTGTCAGAGATAGTTTGGGGTAAATAGCTGCTACCTGAGAGACCGGTGATATCCATCTTCGGCAAGTGTCTGGCTTTGAGGACCACCACTGTCATTCTCTGTGCCACAGGCTGATAGGACAGCGATACCTGGAGCTCCCCTCTGCTAATGCACTTCTGTGAGGAAGAAACATCAGGTGAGAATCCTGGCACACAAGGTGTGCAGAGGCGAGGGAAGGGAGCCTGGAGAAGAATAACCGCAGGGATGAGAAAGCGAGATGAAGGTGTTCACCCCCTGGAAAGATGCTATTATTCTATTTAACAGGACAGAAACGAAGAAGTGGTATAATTATAATCCTGGTATTAAAGAAGATCGTTTGCATGAAGAGGCAGCATAGGCCGGTGTCTAAAAGTGTGGGCTTTGAGGCCAGACTGGCCTGGATTCAAATCCTCACTCCCACTTCTCAGCTGTGTGACTTTGGACAAGTTCCTTGACATCTCTGTACCTCAGTTTCTTCATCTATAAAATGGAGGTAATAATAGTATCTACCTCCTAGGATTATTAGGAGGATTAAATATGTTAAAGTTTGTAAAACACAACAATTATGTGCCTGGCACATAGTATGCGCTATAGAAATGCATTCACTCCTATTTCCTCAGTTTAGTCTGGTGATAAAAAAAGCTTGGAAGACTGTATAGTGGGAGATAGGAAACTTGGGACTGAGTCTCCACGTTGCCACTTACTCACCACATGGCCTTGGGCAAGTCCCTGAATGTTCTGGAGTCTGTCCTTCTGTTTCACAAGGAAGTGACTCTCCGTATGTCCTCTGCCTGCCTCAGTGTCTGCAGCCAAGCCCGCTTCTTCCCTGACGCCCACATCTTTGCTTCCCCATCTTTAATTTTTTTTGTGTGTGTGTGGTGAAAATATACACACCAAAACGTTCACCAACACAACTTCCACATTTACCATTCAATGACATCTTCCACGTTGTGCCACCATTATCGCTATCCTTTTCCAAAATTCTTTATATCTTATTCCAGGCTCTATTTTGAGCTTGAAAGAACTCTAGGGCTCTGAGAACATTTTAAACCACATTTGGATGCTTACTGTATGCCAGGTGCTGGGGACCCGGCGCTGACAGGACACAGTCATTGCCCCGAGGAGCTTATCTTGCGGCAGAAGAGACAGAGATGTAAACCAACATGGACTTGTCAGAGAAAGAAAAAGCTCTAAGTGCTCTGGGCACCCAGGGGAGGGTGGGGCCGGCTAGATTCAGGGAAGGCTTTTCCAGCTGGTTTTTGGGCTGCGTTTATGGAGGGTGAGTAAGATGCCATGAATCAATGGGCAGAGAGGAGAACGTGCGGGGCAGAGGGACAGGAATGGCCAGCACAAAGGAATGGAATCCTGAAAGGACACAGTGTGTGGCGAGAATGTTGAGTGGTGAGGGTGCCTGCAGTGAGGGTGCCTGACAGAAGGGATGGGCCACGGGCCTGGGGAGGTGGGCGAGGCTAGGGTGAAGGGCTATGGGGCACCTCAACAAAACACCAGAGTCAGCAGCACACAGACAAGAGGTCTGTACACACAGGAATGACGCAGTTGTTATTGTTATTATTATTATTTTTAAATGAAAGCTGGAGAATGATCTCCAGTGGAGAAAGCTCAGTTAAGAGGCTGCTACAACAGGCTAGGGAAGGAATGAGGAGCTCAGCTAGCGCCACAGCAAAGGGGATGGCGATGGGGGTAAGATGTTTTGAGGAAGAACTATTGGGATTTTCTAGGCTTGTGTGGCTAATTGGATGTAAAGTGTAGGGGAGAGAGAACAGATGACAGACTATTTCTTGTGTTTCTAGCTTTAAAAGTAGGGGTGAGTCTGGGATAAGGAAAAGAAAAGGAGGCGGGGTTTCAGTAATTGAGGACATAATAAGTTAAACTTGGGATAAAATCACCGCCCCACTCCCCAACTATCAAACCTTATTCCTTGTATTCTTCAAAGTCCCAAAGAAACGTCACCTATTCCAGGAATTCTTCTTAGATTGGACAAAAATAGACTTTACTGGTCAGCCTTATGTATTCCACATACTCACAAAAACAACTTATTGTTACCTACTAAGTGCTAGGCCGTCTGCTAGAGGCTAGAGGACAATAAGGAGCCGTAAACCCAAGAAGCTCACAGCCGGGAGAACCACCAGCTCAGGTGCGTCTGAAGCAGGAGAGACTAGCAGCCAGTGACCACACCAATGAAAACACAAGGTAGTCACTTTGTGACCTACCTAATAGTCTGTGCTTTAATCACAGGCTTTAAATGATCGCAAGGAATGAAACTGTGAAAATATTTTGCACGATTTTAAAAATTTCATGAGTCTATGTTTCATACCAGAGGCATATGGAAATACCACTTATAGGGCATAAAATATAACTAAAATCTAAAGTAAACTTTAGCTTTTGAAATTAAAGTACAAAATGAACTTTAAAGAATAGTTTCATGGTTTATCTCTGCTAGATTGAAGCCTGGCATTTTGTCCTTACCCATAATATTCATGCTGTCAGCTCTTGATTAAATATGTGGAAAGTACTCTCAGCTAGTTTAAAATCCCAGGCTGGTTGCCCTTGCCAACCAGTATAGTTCTGGGCTGCTTTCTTTTGCTGGGCGTCAGAATGCAATCAGAGAATGTAAACTCAGTTTTACTATCAGCCACATCAAATGGCATCAGGAAAGTAATCCCTCATGAAAAGGACAATCAAATGCCTTCCAAGATATTCAGAGCTGGGCTATCTGAAATAGTACCCACTAGCTACATATGTCTATTTAAATTCACTAAAATCAAATACATTTTAAAATTCAATTCTTCAGTCATACTAGGCATATTTTGTGCTCAATAGCCACATGTGGCTTGTGGCCATCATACTGGACAGCACAGATGTGGAACATTTCCATCATCACAGAAAATCCCATTGGACAGCACCAATCCAGAAAGAACTTGTGGATTATCTGAGCCACTGCTCCCATCCATTTGCATAAATGAAATGTTAATTAGATTCGATATCTATTTCTAGGACTATCATTAAGTACAGAATCTCTAAATAATAAATATACAGTTTTTAAATATAATTCTAACTATATACAGAAGGATCAGTGGGGGTGAAAATGAAAATTTGGTTTAAAAAATGAAGAGCTTTATTCGTAAGAATAACATCGATTACATGATTATGGTTTAGGTTTTCCTGATTCCTTGTGTAAAACTCTGTTCTCTAAATCATCCATTATAGCAAACGCTTCCTGATCTAAATCCTCACACCCCTTGCCTAGTTCTTTGGGAAAGCAGACAACTTCTGGTTACTTTTAAAATATTTTTTTCCCTGAAAATCACTCCTCAGGCAAGTGTCCTCCATCTGATCCCTTCCTTTACCTTTGGCCATTTTACATGGGCAGAATGCCCATCCCATCCAGGCACCCCTTTGTGAAGCCCAGTTGCAGCCACAACACCACCTGAATTCCATTCGATTCGTCATGAAAGGCCAGAGTTTAACGCTCCCTCATTCCCTCTCCCCTTCTCTTTCCACCCAATTCCCATTCCTTCCAAGTAGCATGTTCAATGGCTCTTTCTTCTGAAAGCGCCATTGAGGGCTGGGAGCGAGCTCTGTTTCCCAGCCCCTTGGCCTAGTGAGGCAAAGAGCCTGTTGGGGGCAGGCAAGCAGAAGGACAAGGGGGAGAAAGGGTTTTATCCATGCCTGACAGAGCTGGGAGGCTTTGCTCTCAGAGAGTGGGCTCCTTTCTGCTCCGTGGAAAAGAACAGGAGCATTGGTCCTAAAAAATACATTCAGATGAAAGAAAGACTTAGGCGAGGGATGTCTATTTGCCTATAGCAGAGCCTCTTCCAGAGAGATCTTCCAGCCACAGAGCCCTTGCACTGGGTGGACCAGCGGACCCTCAATAATCTTTAATGGGGCCAAAAGCCGTAAGGGCCACCTCTACCCTAAATCACAGCCATGGGAAAACAAATGGAACAAAACCCTCAACATTCAATGACAACTCCCCTCTTCACTCCCTGCCATACACAAACATAGCAACTTTTTTTATTGTTCCTGGGGAGTTGACATTCCTTTTTCTTTCTCTCTTTTCTGTCCCATTTGGCTGGACTGGATGACCTCTAAGGTCCCTTTTAACTCTAAGATTTTATGAATCCTCCCACTCCCATGACCATTGTCCCAGGTCATCAACACCAGATCTGGGCGGTAGAAAGACAGGAAATGGTTTGGAGAACAATAACCTGAAGAAATTCGGAGGAGTCTAACAACTCTCTATTGTCTGCTTTTTAAACCACTTGTTCACACTGTCTCCTCTCTATCCCCCAGCCCTCTCTGCACCATCTTCCTTCTCCTCGTGGGGGATTTATTACGGGAATGTAAATTCACTTTAATTTCCATTTGAGTAAAATATTAGAAAGTAAAGCTGCCTCTGGGGGTTGAGGGGGAGATCTAGTTCCAAAGTCCAACTCAGAGATTTTTAGGGGCATTATCCACTGTTTTAGAGTCTACGCTGTGACCTCCTTTCACTAATAATCAAGGGTTATTTTTAATATTTCTTATGTCTTCCTGTATATTCATAAGGGCTGAGAGTGTTCTTACAAAGTGACCCCATTAGCCTTCACGATACAGCTGAGAGAGAAACCGAGGCCCAGAGCGGGTAACTGCTTGTCCAGAGTCACGCAGTGAAATGGAGACAGTCAGAAACAAGGAACAGTCCTGGGCTTTTCCCACAGGATGGCGCTGTGATAATGGGAAGGACAAGGGAGGAATTCTCTGCTAACGGCCAGGAAATGCAGTTGGAACAGGGCAGGGGGTTGTCTAGAGAAATGAAATTCTCACCAGTCTCCACTTAGGAATCTTTGAAGGAAGATAACTTGGCCCCAGATCGTAAGAGGATGCCTTACACAGACCAGAAAAAAGCTCTTTACGGACGGTGTGGAATAGTCCAGAACAGCTCCAGGCAACGTTCGCCAAGGAAAGATCCAGAAAGGGCAGACTCTTGGCTATAGCAGGAAGGGTTTGGGTAGACACAGGGAGGCTGCTCTGTTAGGGAATTACAGGAATCAGTGAGTAAGGAGATGACCATCTGTCTCAGGCTGGAATACAGGGAAATGGGAAAATGGGGGAAATGGGCTTGGGAAGCCTGGGAGGCTAGGCATCTCTTGGGGTGGGGCTGCCCAGGCTCCGGCCAGGGGCTTCTTCCAGGGGATGTGCTGCTCAGGATCCCAGCCCTGGCTTCTCCCTCCTGAAGGGAGTTAATAAAGTGCAAAGAGACTTGGCTCTTGCCAGGAGTCCCTGGCAGTTTAGTAAATGCCATTGTCTGTGCTCGCTGCCCAATGCCCTGGATTTGAGGCTGTTTGCTCCCAGACGAAATCAGTCCCCTGTCCTCGCCAGTCTCTCCCGAGCTACAGCTTGGCACAGAGCCATCGTCTACCCCCAGGCTTGGGCTGGGAGTACATGAGCTGTCTGGAAGATTCCAGTTAGCTGAAGGCTTTACTGCAGTTGGGGCCCTAGGAAAGGGTGTGCTGGAACGGATCCTCCTGGAAAGAGGGTAGATGAAGGCAGGGAACGGGACACTGGAGCCGCTGAAAAGGGGAATCAGGAAACGGGTGGGGGTTTGCAGAACCCTGAGGAAAAGAGATGGGGGAAATGAAACAGGTCACCACTGTAGTTTCTGTCTGTGCAGTTTGTATCCAACCTCAGAAGACGCAAGAACTTCTGCTGTGTTGGACTCTAGGATGTCTCACTGTCTCCTGGCATTGAACCAGTACCTTGTTTATGCCCTAAGTGCCTCTAACATTCTTCAAAATTCTTGGACCTCCCTGGCCCCTGTGCGGTGGAGCTGAATGTGCCATGTGGCAATAGCAGTTCCTTTGGGCAATGGCGTGACTGGGCTGACTGTGGAGGACAGGTGCCTGCTACACAGCAGGGAAGGCAAGAATGCATGCCCAGAGGGGAACAGCTTTCTGTCTGCCCTCCCCAGGCCTGGCACAGTGCCCTTCTTCAGTGGGCAAACCTTGCTCCCAGAAGCTCACTGCACATTCCGTCCCTGCTGACCTGGCAGCCTCTTCTGTCCAGTCCTGAGTCTCCTGCTGCTCCACTAAGGCTAGCCTGAGTTTGCAGGTGGAAAAGGGATAAGTATGGCACCTATAGGCAGAACTCTTTCTGGGAGATAGGCAGTTGTTTTTAGCGGCCCTGATATCTTTTCTTGGGGCCCTGGTGGTGCAGTGGTTAAGAGCTTGGTTGCTAACCAAAAGGTTGGCTGTTCGAATCCACCAGCCGCTCCTTGGAAACCCCAAGGGGCAGTTCTATTCTGTCCTATAGGGTCACTATGGGTTGGGATCGACTCGATGGCAACAGGTTTGGTTTTTGGCGTATCCTTTCTGAACCTACTACCCGCTTCTCCACTGACTCAAGCCTCCCTTGTCTTCCGTCTCTTTGTCAAAACAAAATATAAATATCTATACACCACATATATCTTATAGGGATCAAGCTTTATTAATAATAGAAATAATGACAATAGTAACAGTCACAGTTTATTCAGTGCTAACTATGTAATTTACTATGTCAACTCATCGTCTTGTTTAATTCCTATAAGAAACTGAGATTTAGAAAAGTGAAACAGCTTGCCCAAGGTCACTTAGCTGGTGGAATTTGGATTCGAATTCAAGTCTGTCTTCAAAGTCCTTGCTACTAACTACCTATGTTATTCCCTGCACAAGGAATGAAACTCTAAGTGTAAAATTTCAACAACTTCCTTCATTCACTACATGGTAACTGCCAAGATGATTTATCTCAACTAGAGTGAAGGTTCCTCAAGGGCAATAATATGCCAGATGTATTATCTCATTGGATCCTCATAACCCTGTAAGGTAATATCATCTTCACTCTACAGATGAAGAAACAGAGGCTTAAAGGGGTTATGTAACTCACACACAGCTGGAAAGTGGCAAACTAGAAAGCAAACTCAGTCCAACTCCAGAGCCCAAGTGCTTAACCACAGCACTATACTGCCTTCCCAGTAGTGGAAGAATGAATGAACTAGTGGGGGTGAGGTGGGATACATTTCTTGCACCCCTGAATTACAGCTTAAGACCCAATGTTGGCCCAGTGGGGCAGGGGGGAATGCAGGATAGGGAGATCTCATCCCCTTTCGAATGCAAACAGAGCGGAGAGGAGGAATGGGGGGGTCTGTGGCCAAGGTTCAGGCCTAGGCAGAATGCCAGAAGGATAGAGCAATTCATTACACTGCGTTTGTAAAATTTATTAAAAGACATATACATACACTACTTAAACTTCTAGGTTTGGGTTGGGAAAGGGAAGCTGAGGGAAAAATTGCTGAACTATTTTCACAGTTTCTCAGCTGTGAGAAATAAGTTCACTGGAGGCAGATCACACATCATTTGAGAGGAAACTAGCTCCCATATCCCTAATATGAAGGAAGGTCTCGGAGTGGTAGGCCAGCCTGCTCCAAACAAGATGGATACAGCGTCAGGATGCCAATCACTAAGTAAAATTTCGGAAGCTACCTGCTGCTCTCTTCTCAGGAAGTGGCTCCTTGGAGGAGACTTCACCTGCCACGTCCTCCATCCTACTCTGATCACTGCTTCTCCTCAATAGCCAAGACCTTCCTCTCTACAGCCCCTCTTTGTCATCCATCCCACCCCCATTTCCCCTTCTATTCTTCCGCCGAGATATTGTCTCCCCCGACCTGCTACCCCTCCCCAGCAGCCTTCCTCACCTGGATGTTCCTCTTGATGATGTCCCTGGTCAGCTGTACCTTGCCTGTGCTGGGGTCCACCCCAGCCAACGGCACCATGACCTCCCCGATGACGTCGTCCCGGGAGAAGCGGTCAAAGCTGAGGACGAGGAAGTGCAGCACCAGGTCCTGCAGCTGGCTGTATGGGATGCCATAGAAGGTGAAGGTCTCATCAAACACGGGGTCCAGGGTCTTCCGCAGCACTCTGGTCTTCACCCGATGCCGCTTGTCAGGAAGAATGGTCATTTTGATGTAGGGGTCAGAGCCCTGGGTCTGGTCATCCATCACTGGCAGTCCATGGGCCTCCTGGATTGTCACCACCAGAGCTTTTTTCGGGAAGTTATAGTCCACGGAGAAGGTGAGGGATCCTAACATGACATCCTCCTCTGGAGATGATGGAGAAGTGGTTTTGCTCTCCCCAGGGGTCAGGCTCACAGCAGGGCTCCTCAGTTCTTCCCCATAGTCGACTTTAATGGGTAATTGGTCTATACAAGATCCAGAGTTAGGACCCCTGGGACCCTTGTCTTGGCCCAGCAGGCCTGCCTCTGCTGCGTCCACCAACAGGTTTCCGTGTCCACCCTCCCTCCCAGGGCCATCTTTGTCTCTCCGCACTTTGATGATTTTCTTCTTGTTGCTGAGGGTCTCTGGGTATATACTGATGCCTTTGAGCATGTGAATGAACTTGTAGGGTGGGGTCTTGTGCTTCTTCTCTGCCTGCTGGTGGCAGCATGTCCAGACAAAGACGGTCACAGAGACACACACCACCAGCACAGAGGCCCCGATGAGGCCAGCCACCACCGGTGACACATCTGAAGGTGGAGACCAGAGATGTATCAAGGCAGGTAGACCCCAACACCTGACCCAAGCTCCCCTGCTCAGTACCTCTGCCAGAGCTAAGCTAATCCTCAGGCAACCCCCCAAAGCAAAACTTGCTCATTTGAGCTTTAGAGCTTGTCCCCTCTCTTGGCTCTTCCTTCCCACCAAATCTGGCTGAAATGTGTATCTTCTCCAGAAAGCCTTCCTTGAGGTGCCCCACCTGACTCACTATTCTTTTCTTGACCTTCCCTCAGCACTTATGGATTCGGTTAGCTCATATTGATTTGTGTTTCCTATAAAGCTTCTATGTAAGTGTTCTAAGGTCACCTTTTTACATGGGAGCCTGTTCACCTAACTGTTACACAAAGGGCACAAGCTGTGTCTTTGGTTTTAGGAGGATATTCCACAGCGTCTAGTATGGAATTTGCACACAGTAGGCCAGTGCTGACTGACTGACTGGCAGGGTGGAGTGGAACACTGTGGAGCTGAGTTCAGATATAATTTTGGTAGGGTGCTGCTCAAGGGTGGTAAAAGTGGGTGGGTTGTAAGAAGAAGAACTCTGGATTTACATCCTTTTAAAACATGTTCCAAAATTTCTTCTCAACGCCTAAGTATTTTAAATGCAAATATTTGAAATAGGAAGAAATAGGGGTGGTGGAAAATGTCACATCTTTGTTCAAATGTCACCTTCTCAGTAAGGTCTTCCCTTACTATCCTATTTAGAAGTACAATCTGCTCTACCCTTGTCACCCATACTTCCTAGCTCTGTTTTATTTCTCTGCATATGCCTTATCACCATGTGATATATATATATATATATCATATACACATATATGTGTATACATACAACACACACATATATATATACACGTATACATATATATTTTACTATTGTCTTTCTCCACTAGAACGGAAGCTTCATGAGGGCAGGGATTGTTTGTCTGTTTCATTCATTGTTGTATCCCACGCACTTAAGACACATAGGAGGCACTTAGTATATATTTGTTGAATAAATTAATAACTTAGGAGCAACAGATTTTTTTCCCTTCCATCTCTCGAGCCTTATATTTTCCCACAAAATCTAGGTCCCTGACTTACATCATTTATGTTTGGGCTTTTTCCACCCTCAAGTTCTTTGAAGCCAAATTAGGTTTAGACCTGAAAGTTCAAGATACTGCCTGTAGTTTTCCACATTACTTTTTAGGGGAAGACTTGGGTAGGATGGAGAGAACTAAGAAAATAAACATAATTCCAGCATATTCCAGATTCTGCCTGGAACACCTTCTACCACCTATCTGCATGGCTCACTCCCTCACTACAGGCTTCTGCTCCAACCTCACCTTAGCAGAGAAACATTCTTTGATTGTCTCCAGTGAGATAGTATCCCCATCACCCCGTTTTATTTTTCTTTATGTACTAGTCACCCCTGACATTTATTTTTCTGTCTTCCCTCATTAGGTAAGCTTTATAAGAATAGAGATTTTGTCTGTTTCATTCATGGCTATAGCCCCAGGTCCTAGAACCATGTGGCATATATTAAGTGTTTAGTGAACCACTGAGTTAGTAAATTCAAAACAGCCTTCAAGATTAGAAAAAGAGGATGAAGTCAATATGATTACATGTAATAGGGATCAATGTAAAATCTTGTTTGGGCTTAAAAACCCATCCACAGGCAATGGGAGACATCCCTTGACAACAGTTTGTGCAAAAATGACTTAGTAATTTAGATGGTTGCAAACTTCGGCTATAATGAGGCTAATGCCACCTGATATGAGGAATACAATCTCCGGATCACAGGAGAGGTAGGTATAATTTCGTCTGTACTGGTCAAAACACATGTGGAATATTCTGTCTAGCACTGACAATAATAAAATTGTGTGTATGTGTACATTGACTATGTTCCTGCCAGGCATCATGCTAGAAGTTTCTATGAATCAAAGAACTCATTGAAATAGTTATCATTTAATATCACCACTTCACAATTAAGGAAACTGGGGACTCAGAAATCTGCCCAAGGTCACATACTAGCAAATGGCAGTGATGGGATTTAAACCCCCATCTGCCTGACACCAAAGCCAGTACTCTGCATTATGGATAATATAGACCAAGGACAATAAAGACCTGCTAACAATATCAAATGAGGAAAGACTGAAGTAACTGGAGCTGGGGGTGGGGATCTAGGAATAATAACAACTGTCCTCAACCGTTTAAGGCATTTTGATGGAAGAGGGTCTGATTTGATCTTACTTTGGAGGGCAGGATCAGCACCAAAGCAGACAGGCTACAGGGAGACAGATTTTTCACTCAGTGGAAGGAGGCAGATTATTATTAGAACGGTCTCATTATGGCCCAGACAGTTGATGAGGTGGTGATGCTCCAACTAAAAATTTGCAAACAGGTTGGATCACCATTCGTCAGGCCTGTTCTAAAAGAGATTTCTTCCATGAGGATTGGACTAGGTGATCTCTGAAATTCTTTCTACCTCAAATATTCCATGGTTCTATGAAAGTTGGAACTGGGCAAGAAAAGAAGGGGTTACATTGTAAAATAAGACAGATATCCATTAACAAACTAAATCAAGATGACCATGGCCATATTGAGTATAACAGTGTTTAGTCTTCAGAGTTTTGAATGAAATAAGAGCTGTCAGGGAGAGGTTTCACAACATGGAGACAGTCCTGGTGGTAAGCTCATTAAGGGCAGGGCAGGAACAGCATCCTGTTTATGTTTGAATCCCTCAGAGTCTCTTGCATTTAACAGGAACTCAATCCGAAATCAGAATGGGTATACTCTGAAGAAGTGGCTCTCCATTCACCAGTCAGGAACTTTCCTGCACGTTGGCTTGTGACTGATCAGTGAGACTGAACGTTGTCACTATGAGAAGAGGAAAGCAGGGAACCACCAAGAAGACACGTTTTTGAGAATGATTTGGAAGGAATATCTAAAGGCCTAGGTTGGGAGATATCTGGGCCCTCCTTTTAGCTCTACCATAGCTTTACTATGTGATCTTGAGGGAACCACTGCTATTTATAATGCATCTACTTTTATTGTTACAAAATGGAGATGGAGTGGGTAAGAAAGATGAAGGATTCTCATCTTTCAGGAAGACAGAGAAAGAAAAGAACGGAGATAGATGAACCCACTTGTGGATTATCTAGGTACTTTCTCTTGCTTCCCACTTTCTTCTTCATTTTAGTACTGGTTAACCCTGTCTGTCTTCCCCACGCCCAATGCAGTGAACTATTTAAATAAGAGATGTTGAAACTCAGAGCCCCTTGTCTTGCTTTAGTGAAAAGCTTGGTGGGAAAAGGAAATTGGAACTAATGGCTGAAGTGAGTGTTTTAGAATAGCTATAAATTGCAGTGACCCGTGCTCCTTGTTCCCTTTGTGGTCCAAGGTCATGGATAATTGAGTGTTGGCTTGGTGTATCCCTCAAGCTCTACAGTGTCTGATAGCTACAATGAAGTACTCTATGAGACATGAAAAAGTCAGAAGCAACAGTTCTCTATGCAAGAGACCATCTATAAGGGTCCAGAGACCTGCAAGCTACATCTGAGCTATGCCTAACTCTCTCAGCCTCTGACCAGACCTGCTTATTGATACTTCTTTCCTAAGGTTAGCCTTCCCCTGTCAAGTAGGCCAGTGTGATGCTAAAGAATGAACTTTGGCATCAACCAGACATTGTTTCAAACTTCACTAGATTGCTTGACTTTAGGCAAATTAGTTTATCTCTCTGAGCCTTAGTTTCCTCATCTGGCAAATATATATGTCATTATATATTATAATATACACTACACCAGAGTGTATTTGTAAGGATTAAATAAAATGTAGCATGTAAAAGGCTGATATAATTTCTTTTCCCTCTTCCACTAAAATAAATTACTGTATTATGCTCATTTATACAATTTACTTTCCCAAGGAACCTAGAACTGCAATTAGAGAAAGGAATTTGTTGAAAGAATGCATAAGAGAAAAAGAGCAGGAAGAAAAGCATGGGGTACTCATATGATCACAAAAAGAACTTCCATGTTGGAAATACAGGACTCAAAGGGGAGAGATGCAGAAGGTGATGTGGAAGACTGAAACACAATCAGGATTTAGCCTTGAAGTGGAAACAAGTAGCTAATGAGTGTCAAGATCGGCTGTCTGGACACTTCTATCTGACATCTTCTTGCTAATACTGAGGGGATACAGCACACTGTTCTGCTCATTTCCACATACCTCTGACTGGGGAGTGAGAACAGCCATTTCCTAGCTGAATTGTGTCTCCACCCTATATATTCCAGTCTGGACGCTCAAGCTTTCTGGATCGTCTGAGGGACAGAATCCCTTAAAGGATGGGCTTCCCCCATCTTAACTGGGGTAGAATTGGGGGGAGAAGCGGGGCAATTTTACTC